TGGGGGGGAGGGGGGTGTCCGTTGTGCCAGCACTGCTCCGATGGCGGAGCATCCCCCTGCGAGAGCGCGCTGCTATTTTTAGTCGTTGAGTCCTTGTTGATGGCGCAGCAGCGAAGGCGAGGGAGCAGCCAGAGGAGCAGCAGGGCTGGGGGGTGCTGGATCAGCCCCCGCGGGATGAGCAGCAGCTGGGAAGCAAGGCCGGGGTACAGGGGGGGCTGGGGGATGCCCTTTGTCCCCCCGAGGCATTGGGAGTCTTGGGTGCTTACCGAGGGTCCCCTGCCATGGAAAGTCCTGCGCTGCCTTCAGAGGGCTCTGGATCCGGCCCTGCCGTGTCCCTGCCAGCTGAGGGAAGGGGGAGGAAAGAGAAGGCAGGGAAGGATGGAGGGATGGAGGGGGAGGAAAATAACACCAAACCCAGCCACGCAGCACAAATCCTCCCGAGCAGCAGGCAAGCTGCGAGCCACCGCATGAGCGGGCATCTGCAGCGGCAGGACTGCGCTGGGCTGGCAGTTCTGCGCGGTGCGGTGCCCCAGCTCGGCTCCCAGCATCAGCTCCGGGCTCTCACGGCGTGGCCTCATGCACCACAGTGTGGCCCCGGGTCATGCCCTGATGCTGGGAGTGCAGCGGGTCCTTGCGTGTCCCCAAAGGGTGACACTGGCTGTGCTGGGAGCTGTGGGGCCATCTGGGCTCTGTGTGTGTCCCTAGGGGGGGACAGGGTGCTGCGGGTTGGCTGTAGCCAGAGGCAAGCGTGGCTCCTTGGCTTGTGAGGACAGGGTCACGCTGGCTCTGGGCATCATGGTGGCCCCTGCCTCTTCCAACGCGAATCTGTCTGGGGGACCCTCACCATTAGCCCTGGCTATAGCCACAGTGGCTTTTGCCAGGCCGCTGAGGGCAAGCGTCCAGCTGCAGCTATGCACCGTCGGCCCTGTATCGATTCCTGTGGCGGGGACAGTGGGAGCTGAGCTGGAAACTTCTTCGGGGCTGGGAGAGCACGTCCGGCAGGGACGTGGCGGGGGGAGCGAGTGCGCAGGGCCCCCGGGACACGGCCACGGCTGCCTCCCCCTCCCGGGAAGGGCCGTAACCTTGCTGCTGTCGACAGCTTGATTTGATGCCATTAAAGCGTTTGCTCGGAAACAGCCTACATCAGGCGGCAACATCTGTTACGGCCCTTCTCTGGCAAAGCCGCGGCGCAGCCGAAGGCAGAGCTGGCTGCCGGCTCCTTGCCGACAGCTCTGGGTGCTGCTGGGGATCAGCGTGTCCCCTCCCTGCCCCGAGCGGCAGCATCACCGGAGTTCGGCTCGCCTCAGACAGGGGAGCAAAGGGCCGCCCCGGCTGCACCTCCAGCCTGGCGGGCCTCATCCAGCCCCTCGGGGTGTGACACCCAGGGGCGCGGGACGAGCCCCGGGCCTTGCCAGGCGCTGGGACGGGCCGAGGCTGGCTGTCCCCCGCTGGGGTTATCCTGCAGGCACGGCCGTGGCCTGGTCCTGCCCGAGGGTTTCCTCCCACCCACACGCATGTGTGTACAGCGCTGCACACCCCGCCTGCAGGTACACCCACACGGATGTACACCCCATGTGCAGGTACACCCCACATGTACATACACCCCACATGCATGTGCACACTGTGTGCAGGTATACCCCACAGGTATGTACACCCCACATGTATGTGCACACTACATGCATGTATATCCCACGTGCACATACACCCCACATGTATGTACACCCCACATACACCCCACATGTATGTGCACCCTGTGGGCACACACACCCTGCAAGTGTGCAACACCCCCCCCTATGCACACCCCCACGTACGCTCTCTCCGTGCCTCCCCACCTCTGTGTGACAGCGAGCCGCCCGGCCCCTTGCACTGGCCCTGCATTGCCCTAGCTGTTTGGCAAATTAACAATAATTAATTAATAACATTAATTAATAATAAAAGAGAAAGAGGGGGGGGAAAAAGCTCCCCCTCAAACCATCAGCCCAGGGTCTTCTCAAGCCAATTTTCATTTTTCAAACCTGCTTCCACGTGGAGCATGAGGGGCCCTTTACTCCCTTTAATTTTCTTGCTGCCGCCCGGGGCTGCCCCAGAGGCCTGGCTTTGATTTTGCTGCCTTTGTTCCGGCACAGGACAGGGCAGCACCGCGCCCGCGCCACGGTAGGGGCTTTTGCACTGGTCTTAGCGGATTTTTAATTGACCCGTCTTTTCCCCAAGAAAAAACGCAACCAGTCACCCGTGCAGCCTGCGAGATGCAGCTACAGTGGGGGGGAGCAACGTGGAAAACATCCAAAAAAGGGATGGGGGGGGACGGGGTGCTGGGCTGGCGTGGGTGGCTGCAGTGGTGCCGGGGGGGCACTGTGCAGTCGGTGCATCCCTGAGCCACCAGTGGTTATGGAAATATCGTTAAATAAAGCCTCGGGTATGTGCATAGACCCCAAAAAGGTGCTGAGATGTTACCGGTGCCCGCAGGGTGCTGCGAGGAAACGAGGCCGAGCTGCGACTGAGCAAACCGGCACTGTGGTTTGTGCAGCTACGGCAGAGCTGCCACCGAAGGGACCGACTGGAGCCACATGCCAAACGGTGTGGTGGCACGAGGGTGGCGGGAGGGGGACACGTGGGGACACACACGCAGCCCGGCGTGGCTGGCACCGCGGGGAGGTTTGCCAGGGAGCACGGCTGGGCTCGGTTCTGCCAGCCCCTGCCAGCCCTGCCGTGTCCCCTCCCTTGTTGCACTCGCAGGGGGGACAGCACCAGGGTCACTGCTGCGGCACGGTGCCAAGGGAGCAGTGCTGGGGAAACCTCCCGGAGAGCAGCAGACCCTTGGGGCTGCCCTAACCCAGGCTCCCAAACCTCAAACCGCTGCTGAAACAGGCTCATGTTCACCCCAGCACCTCCCACCCAGCATGTGTGGCCCCTCCATCACCACTGAGCCCTTCATTAGCCCCCACAAGCCTCTCAGCTGCCTCCCAGATCAAACCAGTGACCCAGGTGCTTCCCTGCACCCAACACAAACGGGGCGAGGAAATGGGGAGGTTTAATGACGACGATGGCGAGGCGCTGGCGAGGCGCTGGGCTAATAGACGTCTGCTGGCGGGAGCAGACAGCTTCCAGATGGTATTGCACCGGGGCAGGGGGTTCGGCTGGGCCCGGGGGGGCTGCAGGAGGCAGCAGCAGGCAGAGCCGGGCAGAGCCAGCAAGTTGAAATTACTTTTTTTGCAGCAGAGCCTGCGGTTCTGGCCCTCCACGCTGCTGCTTTCAGTAATTAGCCCAATAATTAACAAGAATGGCGATAAGCGGGGTGTTCGGAGGGGTTCACAGGATCCTGGCGTTCCCCGGGGAGGGTGTGCGAGGAGGGGTGATTTGCAGAGATGAGGGGCAGAAACGCAGAGCTCCAGGGCTGGGGGACCCTGACACAGTGCTGGGGGTCACTTTGCCACATGAGGTGGGCAGGGAGGGGTTTTTTTTGCCCTGAAAAGTTGGAGTAGGCAGCAGAGATGGGGAAGGCCCCCAGCAGCAGGGTTGGGAGGGCTGGCTGGGCACGCTGTGGGCAGGGGGGACAAGCTGGACCCCAGCCACACCCCCTGCTCGTGGGCACTGTGCTGCGGAGCAGGGCGATGAGCAGGAGCTGTGACGATGATGCAGGGCAGTGAGAGGTGAGGTGGTGCAACCCCAAATGATGTGACATGGGGGTGACATGGTGCGGCGCAGAGCAATACCTTGAATGACTCGAATGTGTCCAGAGAAGGGCAACGGAGCTGGTGCAGGGTCTGGAGCACAGGTCTGATGGGGAGCGGCTGAGGGAACTGGGGGGTTTAGTCTGGAGAAAAGGAGGCTGAGGGGAGACCTCATCACCCTCTACAGCTCCCTGAGAGGAGGGTGCAGAGAGGGGGGATGAGTCTCTTGACCCAAGGACCCAGTGCCAGGCCCAGAGGGAATGGCCTCAAGCTGCTCAGAGCAGGGTCAGGCTGGCTCTGAGGAAGGATTTCTGTGCAGAAGGGGCTGTTGGGCGTTGGAATGGGCTGCCCAGGGCAGGGGGGAGTCCCCATCCCTGGAGGGGTTGAAGAGTCGGGTTGACCCAGCACTGAGGGATCTGGTGGAGTTGGGAACGGTCAGGGTGAGGTTCATGGTTGCACTGGAGGAGCTTCAAGGGCTTTTCCAACCTTGATGATTTTGTGATTCGCAGTGATGCAAACCCAGCTGCTGCGATGGAGGGTGATACAGGCTGGGGCAGGGCAAGGTGATGCGACACAGGGCAGCGTGAGGCAGGGCAATGCAAGGCAATGCAACACAGAGCAAGGCAACCTGACACAGGGAGATGAAATGCAAGGTGATGCAGGGCAGGGTGATGCAACAGAAGGCAACCGATGCAGGGAGATGAAATGCAACGCCATGTGATGGTGGGTGATGTGAGGCGATGCAGGGTGATGTGAAGCAATGCAATGCAAGGTGATGTGATGCAATGCAAGGCAACTCAGTGAAAGGAGATGAAATGCAAAGTAATGTGCAGGGTGATGCAAGGCAATGCAGGGTGATGCGAGGTGAAGTAATGCAAGGTGTTGTGATGCAGGGTGGTGTGATGCAGGGTGATGCAACGCAAGGCAACCGATGCAGGGAGATGAAATGCAAGGCGGTGCGATGCCAGGCAATGTGAGGTGATGCAGGGCAGTGCAATGCAAAATGATGTTCTGCAGGGTAATGCAAGGTGATGCAGGGCGGTATGAAGAGATGCCATGCAAGGCAACTCAATGCAGGGAGGTGAAATGCGAGGCAGGGCAATGTGATGTGGAGCAATGCAAGGCGATGCAATGCAGGGCAATGCAACACAAGGCGACCAGTGCAGGGAGATACAATGCAAGGTGATGCGATGCAGGGGGAGACAAGGCAATGCAGGGCGATGTGAGGCGATGCGATGCAAGCGGATGTGATGCAGGGTGCTGCAATGCAAGGGGATGCAACGCAAGGCAATCCAACGCAGGGAGATGAAATGCAAGGCGCTCTGCGGTGCAGGGCGACGTGAGGCGATGCAGGGCAATGCGAGGCAAAGCGATGCGCTGCAGGGTGATGCAAGGCGATGCAGGGCAATGCAGCACCAGGCGCCGTGCTCCAGGGTGGTGGTGAGGCCGTGTCCCCGCGGCGCAGGCCACACTGCTCCTCTCCGTGCACGGCCGCGCTCCCCCGGCCCGCCGCGGTGGCGATGCTTCATTTGAATTCTCGCCTCTCTCTCTTCGCAGATAACGAGCCCGCGCCATGCAGTCCTTTCGAGAAAGGTGTGGTTTCCATGGCAACCAGCAGAGCTACCAGCCGACTTCACAAGATACATCACGCCTGGAGAATTACAGGCATCAAAGTCAGGCAGGGCCGAACTGCGAGCGGCAGAGGCTGGTGGCGAAGGAGTACTACAGTCAGCAGCAACTGCCGTACTCGGGCTACGAGAACAGCGCCGTGGAGAAATACCACCGGGGAAATAAGCAATTAGCGGGGCAGCAGCTGCAAGGCAGGCCGGCCTTTTCCAATTACACCGTGCAGGAGAACAGCCCCTACCCGGCCCGTTATTCGGGGGACGAGAGCCTGCAGGCGTGGGGTGGCCAACCGCAGGCGCTGCCCGGTGGCATGGCCAAGTATGAGGACAGCCTGATGAAGAAGACGGCGGCGTTGGCGGGTGGGCGGCCGTACCACGAGCCGGCAGCTGCCTCACTGCCCTTCCGGACTCACTTTCAGCAGCAGCAGCAGCAGCAGCAGCAACAACAGCAGCAGCAGCAGCAACAGCAGCAGCAGCAGCAGCAACAGCAGCAGCAGCAGCCGCCCGCGCTCCCCTACCCCAAGCTGCAGCGGCAGAAGCTGCCGAATGATGTCTCCTCGCCCATGCCCTTCTCACAGAGCTCCCACTTCGGGCAACACTCGCAGTCCTTCCCTGCCTCCTCCACCTACTCCTCCGTGCCGGGGGGCAGCCAGCCAGCACACTCCTACAAGAGCTGCACGGCACCCTCGGGGCAGCCGCCGCTGGAGCGGCCCCTGGGCAGCGCCGCCAGCCTGGCCCCTGGCCCCCGCGTGCCCAACCTGCACGGCTACCAGCCCAACCGCATCGGCTACGAGCAGCCCCCGCAACCACCGCCGCAGCCCCCACAGCCGCAGCCGCCGCAGCCCCCGCAGCCGCCTCAGCCCTCGCAGCCCCCACAGCCCTTGCAGGTGCGACATCACGCCCCGGAGACCCTCCACTACCAAAACCTGGCCAAGTACCAACATTATAACCAGCCGGGCCAGACTTACTGCCAGGGCGACGCGCCGCCCGTCCGGACGCCAGAGCAGTACTACCAGACCTTCAGCCCCAGTGCCAGCCACTCGCCAGCTCGTTCCGTTGGCAGGTCCCCGTCCTACAGCTCCACTCCCTCCCCGCTGATGCCCAACCTGGAGAACTTCCAGTACAGCCAACAGCCGCTGAGTGCCGGCGCCTTCCCAGCTGGCATCGCTGACCACAGCCATTTCATGCCGCTGCTGAACCCTTCTCCCACTGATGGGACGAGCCCTGACGCTCAATCCGGGAATTGCAAAAATTTGCAGAAGGAGAAGCTACCCGAAAACCTGCTGTCAGACCTGAGCCTGCAGAGCCTGACAGCGCTCACCTCCCAGGTGGAGAACATCTCCAACACCGTCCAGCAGCTGCTGCTCTCCAAAGCGGCCGTACCCCAGAAAAAGGGCATCAAGACTCCAGCGAGGACCCCCGAGCAGCTCAAGGGGCAGCACTGTAGCCCTGAGAGTAGCACGTACTCAGCAGAACAGGTGGGGACCCCCCTCTCCGACCCGCTGAGCACCCCCCAGTCCGTCCATGCTGAGACGCAGGACACTGACTATCTCAGCGGGTCGGAGGACCAGTTGGAGAGGAGTTTCCTGTACTGCAACCAGAACCGCAGCCCTGCCCGTGTCAACAGCAACTCCAAGGCAAAGCCTGAGTCGGTGTCCACATGCTCCGTGACCTCCCCGGATGACATGTCCACCAAATCGGATGACTCCTTCCAGAGCATCCACGCCAGCCTGCCCCTCGAGACCTTCACCAAGTACGTGACCAACGAACGGGACTGTCCCCGGCTGCTCCTCAGTGCCCTGTCCCAGGAGGAGCTGGCTTCCGAGATCATCGTCCTGCAGGACGCCATCAGCGAGAAGGCAGACAAAGCCTGGGCCAACTCGCCCATGCTGAGCAAGGAGGCCACCAAGTCGCCCTTCCAGCTGGAGAACCATCGGCCCTGCCTGGACTCCATGGTGAAGGGCGCCTGGCCCAGCCAGGGTGACTCCAGCACGCTCACCGAGCCCCTCAAGCTGGACAAGGCTTCGGGGGCCAGCGCAGGGAAGGACTTCGTCGAGGAGGTGTACGAGGGTCCCCAGGTGGAGTTCACGGCCGCTGACACCAAGGACACGCTGAAGGACACTGCCTCACTGGCCTTCAACTCCAAGCCCAGCATCCCAGCGGCGACATCGAGCGCCGGAGCTGCCAGCTACAGCTGCTACTCAAATACCACCGCCAATTCGGTGGCATCAGAGAACGCCATGGAGCACTTCGAGTGGCCGGAGGAGAGCCTGGGCGAGGCGTGCCTGCGGTGGAAGGAGCTGCAAGCCACCGACCTCCCCAAGGGCTTGTTCCCCAGCAAATTGGTGGGCTCTTGCAAGGAGAAAAAAAATGCCTGCGGCTTGGATCTGTGTGATGGCGAACAGCCGGCCAAGAGCGAGCCAGCCCGGGACTTTGCCCAGCAGGCGATGGAGGAGGAGGAAACGCTGACCTACGACGAAGCAGCAAAGGCAGATAGTGAGAGGTGGCTGCAGGACACCCGACACTGCTGCTCGGCCGGGGACTTCAGTGAAATCCCCATCATCTCCTCGCCGGATCTGAAGGAGTCAGACCTGGAGGCAGAGGAGTACTCCTCGCTCTGCGAGCTGGCCAGCTCGGAGCAGAAGTCGGTGACGTACGACGCCTCGCCGCCCAAGCCCCTGGAGATGCCCGCCGTTCTGTCCTCCAGCGAGGTGCCCGTGTCCGCCGAGGAGACCGTCAGCACAGTGGAGAAGGATTGCTCTGCTCCCTCTGCGCGCCTCTCTGGCCAGTCTGTCATCCTGCTGGGTCCCGCTGTGGGCACGGAGACCAAGGTGAAGAGCTGGTTCAAGTCCTCCCTGCCCCACATCCAGCCTGAGGAGGAGAACAGCGGAGGGGAGACGTCACACCCGCAGGCAGCCGATGCTGAATCCGCCCCGTTAGTCGCAGTGAAGCAGCAACTCACCCCTGAAAATGTGCTGGGGAAGACGGAGCCTGTCTCACGGGGCAAGAGCCTCCGCAATAAGAGGGTCCACTGCCGGCTGCCGGAGGCGGACGGCCCCAGCAGCGCTGTGCCGAGCCCTTTTGATGACCTGCCGGCAACTGGCGGCATGGCCAGTGCCTGCCTCGGGCCAGATGGCCAAGCGGAGATAGCGAGCAAGAACGCCCACAGCCAAACACCCCGTTTTCCAGCTGAGGGTCTTCCAGCACGCATGTGCACCCGCTCCTTCACCGCCCTCGCCGAGCCCCGCGCCCCAGCCCCACTGGAGGGGCTGAAGGCCCCCGCGCACCAGGAGAAGCTGGGGAAGAAGCCGGCCTGCGGTGTGAAGCAGCGGGTGGCTTTCAAAGCCAGGAAGCGCAGCAGCCGGCCGGCCCCCAAGGTGGTCCAGAACGCCAGCGACGCCACCCTCCTGATGCCTGGCTTGGTGGTGACGGAGGAAATGGCGGGGCCAACACTGCCGGAGGGGGACGTGGTGGAGGCAGGGGAGAGGGACCAGCGGTCGATGATTTTGCGCTCCCGGACGAAGACGCAGGAGGTTTTTTACACCAAGAGGCGGCGGGGCAAGAGGGCGGCCGACGTGCGGCTGAAGAACTGTAAGGCGCCCAAGAAGCTCATCTCCAACAACCACCTCCCACCCGCCTTCAAGCTGGCAGCCCCGAGCAGCCCCCACAAGGAGGGGAAGGTGGGTGCCCGGATGAAGCTGCCCAAAGCGGGGCCGGGCGTGGGGGGCAAGATGTCCGAGCGGCCCCTGCACTCGCTGAAGAGGAAGTCCACCTTCATCTCCCCCATCCCTGCCAAGAAGAGGAACCTGGTCCTGCGGAGCAACAGCAGCGGAGTGAAGGAGGAGAAACCAGAGGCGCCCCCCAGCCTCTTCAAGAAGATGCCTGTGGCCAAGAAGGTGAAAAGCAAGCTGCCCCCCAAGAGCTCCGGCGAAGGCATCCCAAAGCCCCCCCCACCGAAAGAAGCCCCCGATGTCTGCATCAAGATCACCTCCCGGGCAGCCTTCCAGGAGGCCACCAAGACCAAAGTGCTGCCTCCCCGCAAGGGCCGTGGCCTCAAGCTGGAGGCCATCGTCCAGAAGATCACCTCACCCAACCTGAAGAAGTTCGCCTGCAAACCAGCGGCCACAGCGGGGACAGCAGCGGCCACAGCGGCTGCCTACGGCACCTCCTTGAGCCCAGTGGTGGCGGAGAGGGAGCGGGCGGTGAAGCACAGCGGGGTGGCCCTGGTGGCAGGCGACATGCGGCTGCCGAAGCCGGCAGCGGCACAGAAGGCACCCGTCATGCCGTTGGCCGAGCAGCTCTGCCGAAACCCCAATGGCCGAGCACCAAAGGGGAAGCTGGGTGGCGGGAAGAAGCTCTCCACTGACAGCTGCCAGGGTGAGGCCTGTACGCTGGCCCCGGGGGCCCAGCCCGGCTCCACCGTGGCGGCCAAGAGCTTGGGGCTCCTGCCCAAGAAGAGGAACCGCAAGGGCAAAGCAGCAACGCTGGGCATGGCCAAGGTGCCCCTGGGCCCTGCACCGCCATTGCTGCCCCGGGAGCTGTCTCTTATACACA